TCTCCAGCCATTATTAGTCTCAAAGTGGGTTCCTAGTCATCAAATATGTATTTACTTTCTGTTATATTAACATAGCAGCAAATGTACAACGTTTCGACAAGGTTTTGTCATCATCGAAACGTTGTACATTTGCTGCTATGTTAAACTTATATTAAAGTTTTTCTTCATTACCCATTCAAGCCGTCTCCAGCCATTATTAAATACATATTTGTTAGGATTACATTGTTGGCGCGTACATTTACATGTACAATAAATAAATTGTAGGTTATATTATATGTGTGTGTGTGTATTCTGGAGTCTTTTGCATTTGCTTTTCCCTGCTCTTCCAATAGATAACAGTTTTCACACACGCATATATATAATACAAATGTATTGGCAAAAAACTGTTGACTATTAAGTGTTGTTGTTTTTCTCTCTTCTTTTTTGTCATTTTTTTAAACAATTAAATGACTTCTTGGTCCCCCAACAAACAGCTTTAAACATATGTGACAACCAATAGTTTCATAAGAATCACTGGCTAGGCAGTTGGGTGACGAAACGTGTCACCTGCGTGCTCTTTCATTACCTATACAAGGTATTTGTACAGCCCTTAGTACAATTAAATATACTTTTAATTGTTCTAAGTTTGAAGTTTGTGTGCACAAAATTGCAGGATATTCTGTTGATCAGCCAAAAAGCACGTAGTTACAGAAATGTTTGTTGATTAATTGTGCCACCTAATGACAAATAAGTGCTTTATGTGACTTGGAAATGTTTTTTTTTAATACTAATGTTATCTAGTGACAAATAAATTTCTTAAGTAAATTATAAATGTTTGTTGATTAATAATGACATCTAGTGATCACTAACTGCTATATACAAAGAATATATTTTGCTGATTAATAGTGACATCTAGTGACACTAAGTGCTTTATGCAAAGTAGAAATGTTTATTCTAAAAGAAAGAGAAAATAGTCAGCATATATGAATCAAATACGGTTTTTATGCTTCTACACTCGAAATATTTTTTTATTGTACAGTACGTTTTGTCAGACTACATGCTTACTTCAGGTACAAGATAAACAAAATAACACCTCGTGAAAGCCTAACTAAAATGTAAAAATGCTTAATAAAAACACAACAGTGCATCCTACAGTTTAAATTTGACCAATTATTTATAACTGATTTCTGTAAAAAAAAAAAAAAGCTTGGCTCACAAAAACAAATAAACACACATTTTAAGTACCTACTTGATAAACAGAGATTTGATTTCTGAAAACGACAACACCGAATGCACAGTTCTAACTATACAACCGCGAGTATGGCACACTTCTGAGTTGCATAATTTAATGGAATGGAGTGCGTCAGGATGTCTTGACTAGAAGTTATAATTTGTGAGAGTTTCGAAATGACAACCAGGACACACCAAGTTTAATTTCCGTTTACAAGCATGCTTTTGATTTGACACACATATTCACACCCATTGTTAGCCTACTTTCACTGACTTTATGATCTAATTAGGGAACATCTCAGTCTTCAATTTTTTTCTGCGCAGTTATAAGAGTACATAAGAGTTTTTTTTCCCCTTAATCATAATATTAATTCTAGAATCTCAGGTAACTGATTTATTACAAAACATCGTTATTATTTAAAATAGAGATTTTGTATAGTATAGTCCTTTTTGCAGATAGTGAACAACAATAACTATTTGTTCAAAAATCATTTACAGGGTAACATTTTCTGATGGTTGTTTATTCACTAAGAAAACTCTAACTTAATAACAAGACGACCATTTAAGAGCGAGAACCATGAGATCTATTTCGACAGTGATGATAAAACAAATTTCATATGTATATATTACAAATGCTATGGAACAACACCAGCCAGTGGTGGAAATACCAACTATATTGCATTAAAAATTAATTAACTCTATAATTACAAATAAACAAAATAGAATCTCTGCTTTCATTATTTTCACATCATTAAAAATAAGAATATGGAAGTCGCTTTTCTTAAACTAATTAAACATGTATTTTCTATACATTAAAGAAATGCTTGTACTTATGATGTGCAAAGATATATCGTGCTGAGGTAAGTAACCCCACACTCAGTATTATGACAGCAATAATTAGTCCTAGCAAAATATTCTCCGCCGTTTTAACACGCATATTAGAACCTAAAATGCTTATTTTCGAAGATTTATTATTTAATCCAATAGGAGAAGCTAGGGTTGTTAATGTGTCGTCTTTTAACCAATTAACAACATTATACCAGAACGCCACATCTTTCTCGTACTTCGAATGTCTAATGGAATCTTCAGTCATATTGGCTGAGAATTCGAGAATCAGACGTTTTGATGAGCTGAATTCGGGCCACTGGAGCTTGACTTCATCGTCTATTGGATTAGGGTTTCTGTAAAAACACACTAGTTTTAATCTTCATGACAAAAAAAAATCAAATTATAATATTTCAATTGTATACCGAAATCTATACAAAATATGTAACACGAGAAATATTCTTACCCTGTGTTAGCGAAGTTTGAGAAGGCAGCAATGACCCTTTTAGTCAGGTTTACCTCTTCACTCGGGACTTGGGACAACTGGTGCACAAGGCCAAATGTGAAGAGAACGTCGTCTCCGTGAGCGGCCTGTATGAAGTCAGGGTGGATTGAAAAAGAAGGTCTGTGATTAAACTCGTACATAAATACTTTGGAATTTCCATTTTTAACCAGTTGTCGAGCAAACTCTTCTGTTTGGGCTTTGATGTACATATTTCCACAGAAGTCCATATACCTATCCCTCAGGCTGGTATTCTTGAAATGTTGGTATTCGTGTGCTACTAATTGATTGAGAGAATGATCAGTTTTCTTTACAAAATCTTTGAGGCCTGACGTTATGAGGTAACTCAAGTCTTCATCTGTCAGCTTTCCATCCAGTATCTTTTGGTAAAATGCAGACTTCTGAGCGAACAAGGATAAGAGGCATAATGAACCTTCGTCACTGTTGATCCCTAGAATCACGTCCACAGCAGCATGTTGACCTTTACTGACCGAAGAAAGTGGATCTTCTGCTAAAAAGTGACCATCTATTATTGGTCTCCAACGTTGAGGAACCATAAATGACTTAGTCAAAAGAGTTTCAGCTGGGATTCGCTGCATACAGCTTACCACTGCGTCCAGAGCAGTGAAATCACAGTCAGTAGCTTCAGCTAACTGTTGGGTAGCGTTCAGAGGATCTCTGTCAAATATCCACTGTCCAGTGGCTATTCCACTCTGCAGAATAGCTCTATGAAATAACTGATTATCCCCTTTGTTTAATGGCGATACTATGTGAGCACTTATACTCATGGAACCTGTGAACCTACCGAAAAAAGTGACTTTGTTGTGGTTCCCATGAAATTGACCAATGTTTTCTTGAATCCACCGAAGAGCAAGCCGCTGATCCAAGAACCCTATGTTACCTGGAGCTTCTGGAGTAAGAGTAGACAGGAACCCAAAAACGGAGACTCGGTAGTTGATTGTTACTACAATAACCTTTCCTAGTGTTGCTAGAAAAGTACCATCAAACTGACTAGCATCAGCGTAGTCAAACCCTTCACCTGGAAGCCACACCATTACTGGTAAAATGTCTAACTGTTTCCCCGCTGGTTTGTAGATATTCAGGGTCAGGCAGTCTTCACTGGCCAGTGGCTGGCCAGTGTTGCTAGTTTGGAGAAGTGGACTAATCACTTCTTTTATGTGAGGTGGTTGCAAACAGATCGGGCCGAACTTGGAGGCATCTCGCGTAACGCCTGCTCCTTCTTTGTCTATTGGACGGGGAGGCTGAAACCGTAGATTTCCTAATGGTGCCTTGGCATAGGGAATTCCGAGGTACTGGTCAACAGGACCAAATGGGGTGTCTACTGACCTACCGAGGAGCTTACCAGAGGTGGTGGTTACCTGTGGTGTTGTTTTTATCATAACGGTCATGACTCCCAAGGTCAACCAAAATAACCAAATTATCAAGCTAACGATCATTATTAAGTATGTTATGGGCAGTCGAAATATAAAGTTGTTAATCTGATTGGTAGAGCAATAGTCCTGGTCAAGTTTAGATTTTGAAAATTTCTTCAGGTTTAAATCGTCTAACAGCGAAAGTGAATCTATAATGACAAGTGGTCCGCGTCTCTTTTATATCCCAGATAGCCTACTTTGGAAGATAATCACATCAACGGAATTGCCACTGACCTCATTTACCTGGCACTAACTCTCACTGCCTCTAGGTAATATTTCTCATAATTTATTCTGGTGTAATAGGCCTGTCAAGTGGCCAGGTGTCAAATTAACGAGGACTTAAAGACTGTTGATTTTAATCTTAATCTGCCAGTTTCACTGCCAATGTTGCACTGCCCAAAAAAAACAACAACTAACTTTTATGTTTTATTTCAATTCATTCGAAATTTAGCATTAACACTTTACGTTTAAACGTGTGACTATTTACAAAATAACGAATAAAAACAAGGTAGACAACAATGAAGTCACAGAGTAGGCATAAAGGCGATAAAAGACCCCATTCTCATTTGATATCTCTATATAATCGCCTCCCAGTGGCACAGCGGTAAGTCTACGGTGATATAACACTAAAAACCAGATTTCGATACCCGTGGTGGGCATAGTACAGATAGCCATTGTGTAGCTTTACACTTAACAACAAACAAACACATATATGCAATCAAACGATCGATTCTCCACTGTGAACTTAATCGTTGAAAACTGAAGTATTTTCTGATATTATTAGACTACATAATCTTGAATCACAGTTCACTGACGTCACATTCGCTTTTCGCGATTGTTTGTTTATTTCGGAATTTCACGCAAAACTGCACAAGAATTATCTGCGCATAGCCATTCCTAATGTTGAGCTGATAGAATCTAAAGGAAAGACAGGTAGTCAACAGCACTCACCGCCAACTCTTAGGATACTCTTGTCTTGTCGATTAATGGAATTTGACTGTTACTATTATAGCGCGTCCATGGTCCCAAAGTACAGAGAGCGTTTTTGTGGAACGCATTGTGTTTATGACTTTTTCTAATTAAGTATATCTCAAAACGCTTTTGACATAATAATAAAAACTAGGGGTTTATACTTTGTAAACTCTACACGATATCTCGTTTTCGTTTTATTATTTAAATTTTATGATTCAATAGACAATAACATGTCATAGACTTTATTTTAACTTGATTAATAATCAATATTGTGCCTTACCAAATTAATTCATATAATCCACAATACAGAAAATGTTCACTAATTTGTCGCTCATAGTCCCAGCTTGCATAATTAATCTCATAACAGAAGTGCCGATAGCTTTGTCTTTAAGGAGCCGACCATGAGAGAAACATCGCATACATGGCCAGGTTATGGGGACAACGGGTCACTCGCGGCCAAAAACCTTTCTCTATCACAATGACCCACTTCTGCTGCCGCGAGAATATATTCGCTGACCTCTGCAAGTCAATCGCACTTATGGTCTTGGAACGTGCGATGCCACACGAAACATTTATGATTTTAAAATGAATGAAGACTGACGTCAGCTGTGACGTGTAATGTAATCGACTATGTAGGTTAACCCTATCCAGCTATCATTCGAAGCTCTTTCGTAAACGAATGGAGGAGGAAGCACGTTCGCTTATTTTTGTCTTTATTCGTCTTTATTCCTTCTCATTTCTGCATATATTCTTATATTCGCCACGCGAGTTATTCTTCACATCTGTTGTGGGTGGTAGGGTGTTGCTGACTGGCTGCTTTCCTTCTGGTCAGTAATTCAGTTGAACAACGGCAGATAGCCTTAGTTTGTTTGTTTGTAATTAAGCACAAAGCTACACAATGGGCTATCTGTGCTCTGCCCACAACGGGTATCGAAACCCGGATTCTAGCGTTGTAAGTTCGCAGACATACTTCTGCTGTGCCACTGGGGGGCGATAGCCTTAGTAGCTTTCCCACAAGAAAAATACGAATACAGTGTACGAAACTGACTAAGCTGCGAATCCTATATACTTGAAATAACTGCAGTATTTCAGTCAGAAATAGTACGTTCATGAACTAGTTGCAACTGGATAGGCCTACATACATACGAATACGTTCATGAACTAGTTGCAACTGGATAGGCCTACATACATACGATTTTTACCGAATCCTATATACCTGAAATAACTGCAGTATTTCAGTCAGAAATAGTACGTTCATGAACTAGTTGCAACTGGATAGGCCTACATACATACGAATACGTTCATGAACTAGTTGCAACTGGATAGCCCTACATACATACGAATACGTTCATGAACTAGTTGCAACTGGATAGGCCTACATACATACGATTTTTACGAGTGCCCTGATAGGATGACACCTTAATCTAGTAGAAATAACCCAAAATACCCCTGAAATAGGAAAAAAAAACTTGTAAGGAAAGGTTCCCACGTCTTTAAGTATTAGTCATAGCTCCTACTTAACGTACTATAAATCGGACAAAACTGGGACAGGAGAAAGTGTTTAGTGTGTGTGTGTGTGTCAGATTTTTAGTACAGAACACGTGTCTTGTCATCAGTGCAGTGGAGTTATTTGACGATTGTTTTACCCTATTCAAGCCATATTTTTACTAGACTACCTGTTTTGATTATGGTTTATGAATAACATCCAAAGTAAGCGCCGTATCTCAGTCGTGAAAGTACAGAAAACAACTGACCTAGAGAAATTTACGAGATAATTTGCATGGATTATGAATCCTGCTTCTTTTCACGATGTATAATTACGAGAGCTTTACACTTCCGGTGATATTTTGTTATGATTTCTCGAGTTTCTTATTCCTGCCATAATATATTTTCAGCTTTTGTTTAAAAGCGAACAGAATATCAAGGTTGGTATAACTCTTACTCAGTGAGTTTACGTACGAACGGTACGATCAATGTAAGTTATTTTCAAAAAACAAACATTTCAGCTGTAACTTGTCGAGTAACAAGTAAGCTTAGATACAGAAATAGACAAACAAACATACAGAGAGATGATCTTCTATAAAATGTAATCTTACTTGAACATGAAATGTTTTTATCATGCCACAGAATATGACCCCCTCCCCCAACAGTGACTCTGCAATAAACTTCATAGTTAAATTGGGGTTCGATCTCTGTTGCCGCCAAATCGCGGTCCACACTTTGAGGGTGTCATGGGTGCATCATAAGAGTGACTGTCAAATCCCACACTATTCGATTAGTGTAATCTAAGAGTTGCCAGTGGGTGCTGTTGACTAGCTGCCTTTCCTCTATTCTATCAGTTCAACGTTAGGGAGGGCTAGTGAGAATAGCCCTTGTGTAGCTTTTCTCGAATGTCTTTAGGGATCGGCAACATATTTTTTCAATGGTTATGTTTATTTATTTATTTTTTAAAATGATCTCCGATGAAACAGATCAGAATCTACTGTTTAATAGAAACCATTCATATATATATATATATACATTATTTTCATATTTATCGTATTAAGTTGATATTTCTAAATGATAAATGTTGCTCATTTGACCAATTACATTGTGTGTCATTGACCTTAATAAAGATATAAAAGTACTCATTGCGGAATTATGTTGAGACGTGTAAGAATTTTTAACAGGCTTAGAAAAAAAAATTCTTTGACTCCATTTGGCAAAAGCACCCATAAAAATACAACGGAGCTGACTAGGAAATTAAAGGTTATCGTGTCTCGAATCTATTCGGTATTCTTATTATCATAAATAACATAAACCATTAAGAAAACATGTGGACGCAAAAGACTATTCTGGAATAGGGTAATAGACGTCACTTAATGAGACTTGTATGGACCAATAGATGTGCGACAATGAAACATAATACGAAATACTGTGGTATTTTCAGGTACGCTGAATTAACTTTCGGTTAGTATCCAACAGATAACAGGAGGTTGGAACAGGAAATGTATTATGGAATAAATCTGAAATCCATTTATAACTGTCACTGAGTTTGAAGAAAGAGGCCAAACAAAATGTAAATTAAGCGGAAAGAATAATCTTTATTTATTCAAATCAATTAAAGAAACGAGTAAACAGAACGAAAGACAACACCTTTACTGGATCTAACCATAAATGGGGCTCTGTAACTGCATGAAGGTGTGCTATCAAAATAGCTACTCCATCCTTGAAAAGATGAGGGAGGAATTCCCTCCATGAAAATTGCTATTATGATCTACAAATGTTCTTGTATCTAAAATATATTCTACAATAAGAGAGGAGCTTCTGCTTGATAAGTTCAGAAAGACCTAATCTAATATTTACCAAGAACTCGTAGGATCCATTCCATAACATA